AGGACATTACCCGCGGATTGCTGTACACTGTCGAGCCGAGAGTGAACAGCTCAGAAGCCCAAGAAGCTACTGTTTCATGCAACTACAGTAGCAATTCCTGCTCTATGCCCTGGCTCTTACTCCTCGCTTTTTCTAGTTCCTTGTTGGTGTACGCATTTTTGTCTGCCGTTACCCAAAGTCACTACATGTATAAACCCTCGGCGTCTTCAGCCCCAAGCCCCCGCTTTCTCGGCTGATGCTGTCTTCTACTGGTTGGTCCCCTTGGTGCCCTGATGCGAACTGGGCAAGGTCCTAAGGTACTGGACATGGGGACTCGGACCCCAAAAGCAACCGCAAGCCAGTGCAGAGCCTGCCGCAGGCACGGACTCGCGGCGCCACCGGCCTCACGGAGGCTTCAGAGGGCAAACATCCAGATCTCACAGACTTTCTGCCAATTTTCGAAGCCCATGTCTGTACTTCACCTGCTCAGTCCCGCCGTATGTGTGTGTCTGTCTTTACTGGGGGGCCCCCCCGACCATTCCGGGTTGGCCTGAATAATCTGGTGCCCATGACCCCCTGAGCCCCTGACACCCTTGACTTGGGTTGTCTTGACTAACTTAGAAGGTATTCCTTAGAAGGTATTCCTTTTCCGTGCTGGGTTCGGGACCCTAAACCCCTCAGCAGGCAAGCAAGCAAGGGAGCGAGAAAGAGAAGATAAAGAAGCTATATAATCCTGACAAACGTCCCCATGCGGTTTCACATGCCCCGAAACAGCAGAAGTGACAGTGTTTTGCATCAGGACGGGACGGCCGTGTCAGTGTGGCAGCTTCTGTGGCACCCACTTGACCCCAAGCCCGCAGGCCTTGAACGGTGCCCTGCAGTGGTGGAGTCTTGCACACCTGTTTGGCATGGCACTTTAAATATAATATGGACGCCCGCATTTGCGCACCAGAGTGGCAGAGACATCGCTTGTATTCGCGCTTTCACGGACCGTGTTTTTTTTTCCATGTTTCGTGTCCCAGAGTAGCCCCATACTATCATAATCATTGGACAGAGCATGCCTCAAGCTTTTGCGAAAAAGGATTGGGCGAGAAGTATGGCGGAGATATCACTTTCACTGGCAAGCTTCCGTCTCTTCTTTGCAGCCGGCCTGATTAAGATGCGAGCAGGAAGCGAGTGTTGGAAGGATCTCACATGCTTGTACGACCACTACGAGACGCAGCCGATGCCAAATTCCGCCGCATGGTATTTCCACAATTACACCCCGCGGCCGTTCCTCCGAATCATGCAGTGGTTCGCAATAGATGTGTCAGAATGCATCGTTCCGTTCCTGCTTCTGGGTCTTGCTGCGAGCATGGGGCCTCTCGGCGTCTTGCGGCGTCAACTACTGCAAAGGGATGAGTGGTATCTCCAATGGCTAGCATCGTTTCCCGCACGATTCGTGGGGTCGGTCACCATCATGATCTTTGTTTTCGGTATGTTCGTTGGCGGCAACTACGCCTTCCTGCATCCTTTGTCACTGGTGGCCCTGGTGGCTTCCATGGGTATTGTTGAAGGAGTTCCAATGCAGAAGAGGTCCGTGTCCCCTGAGAAAGCCGTTTACCGCTTGGTCATGCCGTGGCTGACGCTTCTTCTGTTAATCTTTGCGTTTCTTCCCAGCCTTCGAGCCTTTGCCACCGGGCCCGAAACAGAGGAAGTTTGGAACACCCAGGTTCATGCTGATGCATCCTCCAGAATGCCTCTTGATGTGGCTTTCCTCAGGCCTGGCTGTGGATGGGGAACGAGAGGCTCGGCATTCTGGAACCTCTCGCCCAGTCTGGCTTCGTCCGAGCAGCCGGACAGATGAAGCTTGGGCTCGCGAGACATAGTTGCCTAGTCTTGCATGCTTGCGATCTGTTGCCAGGCTCAGGCATAAAGGATCTCTTGCAGTAAGCTTTCAGAACCGGATGTTCACGGACTTGTCTTGCGGAAAGTGTCGACTGCCACTCAGCACTCAGCTGCGAAAGTTGATTTCGTGGCTGAAGTACAAGATGAGGAACCTTGGAATTGCTTACAACCACCACGCGTACTTCGCCGGTGCTGTCCACATGCGGAATGAGCCGCTCGATTTGCAAACATCCCGTGGACAGCCCTGGCTGGGGTGTCGCTTTGTTTGCATGTGCTGCTGTTCTGAATTTCTGACCACATCGGGAGTCTGCGAATCCGATTCACTCCCTTGGAAGATGTTTGAAGGATGGTGCTTTTTGCCGATGCCGGCGAAGGCAGCGGGGTTTTCAGGACGTTTCTGCATCCTGGCATGGGCCGAGAGGGCTTGAGAAGTGTTCCAATTGTTTGCCCTTGCTCGTCAGCCTTCCTTAGGAAGGATGTCGCCGCTTCCAGAAGCTCGAGTTTTAGCCTGAAGGGTTGGAGACTTGTGCTGGGAAGCTGCATTGCCGTACGCAGTGACACCAGGCTGATGACAAACCTGATGCAATCTCACATGGAAGCACGTGACACGACTAGCGGACTAGCACAGGACCCAAAATTTCTTGTCTGCCTCATTGGGCCATTCCGAAGACAGGCTTGATCGAGTTGGACATCCCGTACAAAGTCGGCGGTGGCCTTAGTCACCCTTAGTGACTAATTATTAGTGGCCCTGAGCTGCACACACCTGGCCCAGTTGCGAAGCTCCGAGAAGGTGAAATTGAGCCGCAACATTTATCTTCGCATATTGATATAAATTATAACAAGCAGCGGCCCAAAGAAGGCCCTAAAGTCAGCAGGCCGCCTCGACCGTGCGCCTCGCCAGACCAGTCCCTTGCATCGGCGCTTCGCCTGGCAGTGGTGGTTTCTGGGTCTAGGTGGCTTGGCGGCTTCAAAGGGGGGTCATGTTTTCGGTTTACATGCCTTGCCAGAGTTCTGCAGGTCAGGTCAAAGCGTCGTGTTGAGACACATAGGCATGAAAGGCCACTCAACCGTTTCGCTGCTGTGGCATAGGTGTGAAATCATACGTGAGCACTTTTTGCTCCAAACTGTTGGAGTTTGGTTCCATAAGGTCTCTAAGCTAAGCCGATTGCAGGGATGCCAAATTGAGAAAATGTTTGTCACAGGCTTGGCCGACAACCTTCACTACTCCCGTCTGACATCTTGAGCCTTGATTAGTTGTCATGCAGCGGAGTATGTAGCCTTCTCGGAAGCAGTCACGGTCTCGGATCTGCTTGCCCCAAAACAAGAACAGTTTCAATCAGGCAGCGATCCTTCCTGGCTGCTTTCCTTTATGGAGCTGCTTTGCGCCTCAGACTATCCTGAGAAGGGAGAGGGCTGAGTGGGCAAAGGGCTTGGAGGGCACCTGCCAAACTTTACCGGCCTCCGCAGGTCACAGAGACAGAGTGGCGTGGGAGGCGGTGGAATGGAACGACAAAGTGCACACCAACCTCAGCAAGCTCCGGAGAGTTTCAGTTGAGATGTACACATACCACTTTTCCAAGTGCCTTGTCCCGTTTTACGAGCCTCTGCAGAGTGCACAGCTATACAGCAGCTCGCCGCTCCGTGTCAGTTCTACAGAGCTCCGAACCGAGGCCTGGTTCTTCTGATTGGTGGAGAAGAGACTTGCTTCGCGGTCATGGGCTGGAGATCTCCTGCAATTGAGTGGTGCCACGGTGCCACTGCCAGGTAGTTGTTTAGGAGCTCAGGCGAGGATCCTCGTGCGAGCACTGTACAGAGGCAGACAACAACAGCTTGTCTCGAAAGGGGCGGGAACGCCGTCGTCGTGCCGTTGTCAGTTGAACGAATGACAGAGCAGAAGTGTTGTCCGAACAGGCCAGGTCCTGCATGTCCCCTGCACCTCGCAGCTCTGCTGCCACCCCTGTGTGAATGAGAAGTGGCATGCATGCAGCCAATGCAGACCGACGCAGAGGACCAGTCCAACGGCTTCTTCATGACAATGGACCCGTGCTCGGACTTGCTACGATCTCATAGGCAGGCGACATGTCATCCTGGCTGGCTGAGGATGCGCAGGTCGATCAGTTCGCGCGCGTGGTGCGAGCAGACAAGAATTTGAGCAGCCGCTGTCTGAATCAAGGGTGCAGCATTCTGCAGCGCGAATTGCGACAGGGATATCAGCTGGTTGTTAGTGGCAAGACGAGGTAGGGCAGGGTTTAGGGTGCAGTTGTCTTGAATTCCGGAACTGCCGAGATGGCTTCAATGCCGTGGGCTTCTCGCAGGGAAACGCGCGATGCCTACCGGTTGGGAGTGCCGTCAAGATCCGCCTGCTGTCGCACTGCTCAGACCGTGATCCGTGGCTACATCCACAAGTACAATGACCCGCCTGTCAGGACGGCCAGAGCCGGGCACAACTGTTTGCTATTCGGAAGGGCTCACCCCGGCTCGCCCCAGTGTTTTGTCGAGGCTGCGGCTCTAGTGAACATGTCTTGAAGTGATTCGGGTGCCGTACTTGCTCAACCTGCAGAGTGAGATCCGAGATTTGTACCAGGAGCTTTCTGTCTATGCATGGTGTTCTCATGGGAGCTTTGATCTTAGTCATTCCTCGCTGCAAGGCATGAGATGAGCAAGAGGCAACATGCGTAGTACGGCCACTTTTTCTTCAGGTCAATGGACTGCCACAGTGTCCCATGGAAGCCGACACCTGAGGATGCGATCAGCTGCAATGTCTGACATGCCCTCTTCCACACTTCACGGACCCATGAACTCACTGAACCGTCGAGGTGCCAGGGCTTGGACTCATTTGCCGAGCAGTCGATGCAATTGTCTCTCATGCAGGACCTGTCTCAGCCTGTGTCTCGCTTCGAGCATAGGCTTGCCGCGTTGCCTTGGGCTGTTCGAGGAGTATACAGCAGCTTCGTGCCTCGGCTGTGTCAGCACTTGAAAGCCCACGTTCTGATGCAGAGCCGTCGCGCAGATCGTTTCAACTTGAGATTCAAGTGAGACAGCATGACGCTTCACTCGAATTGGGCTGTTTTGGCTCAGGGTTTGTTTTACCTTGCAGTTTGCGTGCCTTTAAATACCGCACTGCAAATTAAAGGATGGAGTGCTTACGTGCAGAGCTCGGCCATCATGCGCCCACCTCTGCACCTCAGCATCTCCGTCTGCATGCCAGTTTGAAGTCAAGAGAGCCCGAAACACTCGACGACTCTCTCTTCTGGAAGCGGGCAACATCCCCAACCTCCGAAACAGAGACGGACGACCTTAGTCGATCATCACTGTCTAGCTTTGAACGGAGTTCGAGCGACGAAACATTGGAGCACGAGCAGCACGAGCTGGAGTCCGTCAGGGAAGTTGTGCATCTCTCAAAAGCACGGGCGCTGGCTTTGCAGAAGGAGCTTTTGGCTGCTTTCTCAGCTCCAAGCTTTCAGAAGTGCTTTTCCGAACTTGTTCGGGGCAAGAAGCGCGTGCTGTACGAGCAGCTTGTCTCCAAGCAGCAACTGGAGCTGATTGGAAAGTACGGCTTCGAAGTGTCGAGTGCGGGGTTGATGGACATGCAGCAAGCCCTGAAGAAGTTCTCGGACGATCCGGACATCCTAGTGAACGACCTGGCCATCGAAGAAGTGCTGGCTATCGACAGGACCCACATTAGCCAGAGCAACGAAGAGCAGATCCATGCAAAGCACAACCCAAAGCCCGTAACGTCCGTCAGCGTCTGCGATTTGTTCCTGGGCTAGTGCTGTGTTTGGGATGGGCAAGTTTGCCAAAGGGGAACTGTTTGGTATGTCCCTTGACATCAGGCTGCGTTCCCAGCTCGTCAGCTTCGGCTATGCGCCCTTCCAATCTTCCATACAGCAGTTGAAGGACACGGTGGACAGCCGGCTGGGACGTCCCGACCCACAAGGACACGTGGGACCATGCAGTTTTCTTCGCAACCTAGTTCAGCCTAGTTCCGCACGGACCGAATATGTCCAAGAAGTGTTTGGAATATGTTCGCCCCAAGACAGGGTACTACCATCTACCGGGACGGGCAGAACTGGCTCTCCAGGCAAGCCGGCAGAGAAGCAGTGTCGTAGTGCCGTAGCAAAACGTCGTGCTGGCAGGTCCAGAAGGAAATCTTGCCCAGCTTTGGCTTCGAGGGATCCAAGGTTGGCGTGCAGGACCCCTGTCCGCCACGTCATGCTGCTCTGCCCTTCAACCTTCCCATCGCAGACACAACCAGTAGCTTCTCATGCGTTTGATATTTTCCTTGCAATTACCAGTGCCAATGGTGCCACAGCCACAGAGACGGAGTGAGCGGCAGTTTGCCTCCGGAACCGAAACGTGCATCAATCGGTTCTGCCAGGGCTTTGGTGACTTGAGTGGTGCTTCATCACCACATATTATGTAGATTTCTGCGCAGGCACTGTGAATAGCACACGCTTTCGCAATGCTTTGCAGGAGATGATCATGCATTGCGCCCGTTTTCTGAAACACCGAGAAGTTGCCGTGCTTTTAGACGCAGTAAATGCGTCCGGCTCCAAGCTTCCGCTTTTCTGAGCCAGGGCAAGGGGACCGAGGGTTAGGACGCATAGAGTGGGCTGGATTCTGGATTCGCTGCGGCTCAGCCCAGGAAGCTTGGCATGACGCCCGCCGCTTGCCGCCGCTTTCGTGAGCTCGCAAGCAGCTTGGCAGACAGGTGAAGCCATGCTGCTCGCCACCCAGGACCCGCAGCGTTTGCAAAGGAAACCGAAGCTGATGAGGGGCAAGCAGCCCTGTGCATTGTGTACGGTGCCTGCAGGAGAGTGGTGCAGACGGACGCCGTCACAGTGTAGTCTTTAGGTGCCGGGAAGGGAAACAAGCTAGCTGACGTTGGAGTTGTGCCATGTTGTGCCTCCAAGTGTCTGGGAAGGCCACGGAATGCCAACATTGCCTTCTAGCTCATATGGTATCGTACTGAGCTGGGAATACAAGCTAAACACTGTACAGTTTCCGCACGTAGCGAATTCGATTTCCAGCCAAGCTTGGTTCTCAAATGACTCAAATTCTCAAACGCGAACGGGTAGTACCGATGTCTAGCAGAAGGCAGCAGAAGCAACCGGTATCGGCGATAAGAGTTCAAGCAAACACGTGGATGCTGCGGTAGTGTCGCTGTACTAAGTGCTCCGGAAGCGAGTTCGATTTTGCTTGGCTATTTCGCATTACTTTGTGGGCGACCTCTGAAACTGAAGACGTTGATTGGGTGAATTGTTTCAGGAAGCGGGTCTTCTTGGAGTCTTGCTTCAGCCTCGGAGGATTTTTTGAAACGCATCGGGCACTCTCGACAGGTCTGCCCTGGCTCCTGGAACAGTAAAAACGAGCCGAGTGCGTTCGGCCCACCATCGCTCTGAACAGTAAACCAACTGTACCTTACCAGGTATGCCGCTGTCACTTTGAAGCGCTTTGAAGGTCGGGAGTATGCCGGCTGCAGTCCATAGCTGACTCCTAGCAAAAGACACTGGCCCTCAGATTTCAGCGCAAGCAGCGGTTCGACTCATTTGAAGTGTGGAGCTCTTGGGTGGGCAATTTTATCTTTTCAGATTCGAGTCTGGCTCGGGCTGATTGAACTGAGCCAGCTCGGCTGCAGAAAGTTCTTGTTCTGCTTAAGCAGTTTTAGCTGCTAAATCCGCATACGTCTTGGACACTCAGTAGCGAAAGAGCAGAATGTCAAGAGTTAGGAGCATGCACGTAGTTGACAAATGTGGAATGTCTCAGCTGTCACGGACAGCATGAGACTCGAGCCAGGGTTGCGGCAAGATGTGGTCAGACCAGCGGAGAAGGCACAGGGTAACCAGAGTCTCCTGAAGACTCGGCCATGCCGTTCTGATTCTTGCAGAAGGGAAAAAGGCCATGCGCACCGCCCCTGTCCGTGGTCGCACGAGAGACCTCAGGGACGGTGTCAAAGTTGCCAAGCCATTGCCCAGGTGCAGGAACACCTGGCCCAAGCGAACTACTACCGCGATGCGGCAAACCTTGGCGAGTACAGATCCGGTGCCCACTTCTTGCCCTACATCAACAACGAGGCTTGTTCATAAATTGACCACCTGCATGCGAGGCAGGATCGGCACGATGGCTACAGCATGCTTCAGCACCAGCCAGCGAGGCAACAGGTTCAGGTTCTGCTCTGCTCTTGCTGAGCAACGCTAACCCCTGTCCTGCGAGTCCGGAACATACAACCTCAAGCGGACACTTCCGGGCCCGTCCCGCACAGTCCGGACATGCGGGCTAGCCATCGACCAGTACCGACGTAAGACAAAGTTGAGTTTCATGCGGGCAAAGAACCTCACTACTGTCAGCCATACAAGCAGAAGAACCAGGAGGAACGCGACGAGAGAACTGTACTCGTGAATTCGAGGGCGCGAGGGTGGAAGTTCAGAATTGCCAGAAATAGCGCCACAAGGATTGTGTTTTCGGGGCCGCGGGCGTATGCTTACAAGGGGTCCCTGCATGGCACGCGATATGCTGTTGGCCAGAGGAGGGGGAGACTGAACGTGAGGGGGCAGTGAATCAGTCATGATTTCCCTGCCCTGGATTGAAGCACATGCCCTCCATGTCTTTGTCCAGGTCAAGGGCCAGGACGGTGCATTCGTGTCGGTTCCGTTTTCCCCGCGCAGTGAGCGTGGGCAGCTCCCAAAATTGGTGCATTCGCAGGAGAATTCCACGTACAAGGAGAATTTCAAGTCCTTGGAAAAGCTGGTGCTGGTGATGGCTGAAGACGACACCATGGCAAGTCTGGCAGCAGTTGTCAGCATGTGGCAGAAGTCGAGGGTTGTTTGTTTGCACGTGAAGTGCCAGGTCCATCCGAAAGAAAGTGCCATGGCAAGGTGTTTTCGGTGACATGGTGCTGAGCGTGCGTGTTGCTGCTTGAGGTGAGCACTTCGGCTACTTCAAGGATGGCTCGCGTGAGGCCGTTCTGCGAAACGAGCGTTTAACCGTGTAGCCACCCGATCTGGGTTGTGCATCCCTCCACTACCCTCCGCACATCTCTGCACTACATTCACCTTGCTATGGAGACCTTGGTGGACATGCGCGACGCACCGTGGTATACTGACGATTGGTTTGGTCTCAAGAGCTTGGACCAGGAGACCGGAGGGGCCGGGCTCGTGGGCACGATCTCTGCTCTGCTCTGCTCTGCTGCTTGTAGCTGTCCGACAGGACAAGAAGATTGACTTCTTCTCGACACCAGGCAACAGAGGGTTACATCATATACTTTCCTCAACGGTGGATCTCGCGATGACGAAGGCAACCACCTGCGCTTCAAGACTGACTTCTTGGTTACTATGGTGTGGGAGCTTAGTATAGCGTGCCACTCACTGAATGCTGGCCAAGATGAGCTAGGCAACCTGCTGTTCTGATGAAGCTGTGGGATGCTCACCACTCCCGTCGTCTGATCTGCTTGCACATCGTATGCTCAGGTCAAAAAGTACTTCGTGACTTCCAGCGACACGTCCATCCTGGTTTAAGAGTTTTGAAGAGCTTGTCGATCTCTCTGTCTCTGATCCGGATTACGAGCGCTCTGACAAAGCCTACGGGGTATAGGTCTCATTGTGGTTTATATAAGTGAGAGAAGATCGTTGTCAGTTTGTTTCGGAGCATGAGAGTATCTTCCCCAGCTCGCACATGTCCGCTGACGCGGCGATTGGCTGCGGGGGGCATGGCATGGCCTTTCGTTCACTTTGGTTTCCACCCAGTCGCTTCTCCGGTTGCTAGCGGTTCGGGCAACATTTTCGCTGAAGTCCGACAGCATACTTACTGTTGACCGAAGCTTCAGGAGAGCGGGGCTTAGCAGCAGTCTGACCTCACGGCCCAGATGCGGCAAGCAAAAGCGGCAGTGCACGACCGATTGGTCGACAGGTAAGTGTTCAATCCGCGCTGGCCAAGCCATCAGACCCAGGTATAAGTTTCTTGGCTTTGCTGAAGCTCTCGTGGACTGCACAGGTCTGGGCTCAGCGCCGTTACGGCAGCCAATGGTGCAACACGAATTGTGCAGGCTTGGGCTGAGGGCTAGCTGCGCTTGCTGCCCGGCCTGGTTCAAACCTTGTGCTTGCAGGCTCAAGCATGCCGCAGCGGGGAGCTTATCCATGCCCAGGCAATGAGGATTTCCTCTTTTGATGCTACCTTCATGCAGCGAGCAAGCGCGATTCGAATCCTAGGCTCGAGCGAATCACCTTGCCGAGCGACCACGGCAGTCAACCCGCACAGTGGCTGTGCTTTGATTTTGCCTGCGATCACATCAAGCCTGTCTCAGTCTCTGGCTGCCTACCAAACCATCATTGCCTAGCTTTGGGTCTTCTTGTGGGTTTGCTCATGTTCTTTGAGATGGCATTGCTGCAACCGCCATGCTAGCTGCCGTCAGAGCTTCTCATCATGACCCAGACCTAACCCATTATGTAGACTTAATTCACGCAGTCAAGTATGCATCACGCCAGAGTGGAGCGCATCGATCGGATGGACACGAGCATGTCAAACACAGACAATTCCTTCATCAACTCCATGTTTGCACTGCTACGCCCATCTGAAGGCCTGGTAAGGCTGTGCTTTCTCAGCAAATAGGCCATGGCCTTCTGTCGAGCCGCAGTAGTGGCGTTCCTTGCATGCCGTGCGAGCAAACTTCCAGAGGATGTTTGCTCCGGCGATTGCCAGGAGGGTAGAAGCCAGGGCTCCATGCCGTGGGTTTGTAAAGCACATTCAGCGATAGGTTTGGTTGTGTGTGTGCGGTCTCTCGAAGTACCTGGAAGCAGACATGATCTGCACCAGGGCAATCTGCGCCATGGCTATGGATGATCTACTGAGGCTGCAAAGGGCGGTTCTGTGAATGAATATGCTGCGCAGCAGGATCCTTCACGTGGAGATGGGCTGCGTCATACGTCCAGCACGACAAGAAGGTAACCTGAAAGCAAGTATTCTACGAGGAGTCATGCTTCCGCAGCGTGCCATGACTGCTTCAAGGCTTCGTTTCTCAAAACGGCCCGGAAGTGACTGGTCAGGCATGAATTCGCGCTCATCACCGACTTGGATAAGGCGTCACGCCATCCGAGCAAGCTGACATGGCACGCCTGGTTTCGAAGAGGCCTGTGGTTGTGCCGCTGCGGTTTTAACATGTGCTCGGAAACTGGTGGAACACATCTCAGAAAAAATGAACGCCGCCAAATCGTCGGTGGTCTTCATGCCGCAGGTGCGCTTCGCTTCGAGACCGCGGCCGGCCGCTATCGTCTCGATTGGCTTCACACGAGCAAGCTTGAAAGCAGCCTTTCCTTCAAGAACCGTAGCATCTTGGAAGCTGTGAGACTGAGGGATTCCAGAGCCGCAGGAGTCAAGTTGCAAACTCCGAGGCATGGAGCTGAGCGAGCTGGTCCGTTTCCAGGAACATCTCCTGGCGATGTGCCACTTGTCGCAGACAGCTTTGAAGGGATGTGCCGCAGCTGTGGGTGCCTGCAGGCGATATTACGGGCCTAGTCTTCGAAGTCGATCCGGAGGAGGGTCAAGCATTTCAAAGATTGGCCTTGGCAGACGGCAACGGTAGATCCATGAAGCCCTTCAAAGCTGAGTGGGCCACTGTGAAGGACCTGCCGGTGCATGTCTCGAATGCGTCTTGCCGTAGCCAACCCACATTGGACAGATCCGCACACCCCGAAAACGTAACTCTTCCCAAGATTGTGAGGACGGGTACCTGCTCGTGGGCAGTATGGGTCGTGAGTGGACCGACGACGATGGCTCCGTGGTGCACCGCGATGCTCAGTGGGTAAAACGAATAGATTCGAGCTGGCACGTCCAGAGCCTGGACTGGGGGCAGAGGTTCGAGGCCTTGCGCGCAGCCGTGGATGCTAAGCTTCCAGGCTACCTGTGGCATGAGGCCATCATTTGGGATCAATGGCTGGCAAGATGGATCGTTCTGCCTCGCAAGGAGAGTCGGGAGGCCTACTCTCCGACGGCCGACGAGACGCGGGGCACCAACTTGCTTTTGCTCGCCAACGAAGACTTCTCAGTCATCGAAACACTCCGTGTGGGACCGCCAGAGCCAGAATGGGGTTTTGCAGCCATTCGCAAGGTACCAGGTACCAATGACACCTTTGCTGCACTCAAGGTGCTCGAGGTGGGCAAGCGAACTGCGACGAAGTTGTGCGTGTTCGATCTCAGCGGCCGCATGCTCTTGGAGCCTATCTTCGAAGATGTGGGTGAGATGAAGTTCGAGGGCATGGAGTTCACCTGAACACTGAAACACAGGCTTTGCGCAGATGAAGTGCTCGTGAATGTGCCACAGTGCTAAAGAGCAGAGCCTCAGGACGGATGAGCTCGAAAAAAAGCCGAGCTTCTCGTAAGTGTAACTGAAAGCCACCAAGGGTTTGACGAAGAAGTGCTAGCCGCCGTCTCTGCCAACTTCCTGTTGCCAGGTGAGGCCGTGCAGCGGCCATGGCGACACTCTCGGGAGCTAGATCCAAACCCGAGAAGCCCGATCTGGAGGATCCTTGCAGTCAAACGGAAACCGATTCTGCTGCGATTGTGGTTGCACGTAGGGCCGCAGGGCTTGTGTCTTGTGTTTGCAGTTGGGGGTTCTGAAGGAGCTCTGCAGCCCCTGAGCCTCTCGTTTGGGCCCGGAGTCCTGCAGGGTGCGAAGCCCAAAGCTGCTGTAGTGTGGGACAAAGAGGAAAGTATGCACGCGTGGATCAGTGGATCATGTACCCAGTCGGCACTTGTGGTGTGGTAGCCGAGGTCGATGCTTTACGGCAGCCAGGCAAAGTGTCCCACACCGACCCTCACCGACGCATTGCTCAGAAGCAGATGTTGCCTTGATTCGCTTCGACCCATGATGAGGCGTACACACACAGCCAGCTCTGCCTGAACTTGTGCTGAATGAAGGATGGTGGGCCAAATCTGTGGCAGCCAGAGGCAAACAGCTGCAGGGTGGTTGCTCCCTAAGCTACTGTGTTGTTATTTGCGTGTCGACGGAGCAACCCGTCGACGTATAGATTTGCCAATTTTGATGCCGCGAATTGGCTCGAGAGTTTCACAGATGGTCTATGTCCTTTCCCCAGCTTCCTGGGACATGTCGGATAGTTCCATCCAGGGGCCGTTTACGATCGCTTAGCGTACGTCGCCTAAGGTGAACGCAAGACAAAACGTAAGACACCTCCATTTTCCGGATTGCCAAGCCGAGCCGCACATCCGTAGTTTATTGCTTGAAGGAACTGCGGAGACACTCTTCAAAGTCTTGCTCCCATGGATGGCGATGCAGTGGACGAGGAATGGGAAGGCACACCGAGGGTTGTTCGCTGCATTCCTCTCGGAGTCCCTCAGATTTTTCTGCAGTTGCTGCTTCTTCAACTCAATAGCTCAAAGGATGCGAGCTGCAACACCTTACACAAAATCCACACTGAAAGGCTTAGTTTTTGCAGGATGTCGGTTGGGTTTTGTTGACAAGCGAGGAAAGTGTAGCCTAGAGGCCAATACCAGCTAGGCAAGCCGCAAGAATTCCACAAACACGAGATTCCACCAACATTTCGCGGAACTTAGCCCAAAACTCTCTGGAACAGGAACGGCGAGAAGCTGGCATCGCACGGCAGATGAACTGTGAGACAGTGAAATCTTTGTGTTTTAGTTGTGGGACTATCAAGTTTGTTGTAGGCTGGCATGGTTTGCTGTGTGTGGCCTATGGTGGGGTTCGAGAAAGTTGAACAGACAGTGTGTACCACCTACAAAGCTATCCACGCAGCATTAGGCAGCCTTCTCGAACTGCCGTTCTTCCTCCCGTCAACGAAATCACTCCGAACCGTCCGACGAGATCCTAGCTGAAAGCCCTGAACCCTCAGGAAGAATCGAGCTAAGCACAGTGCATCACAGGGAGAGGGCAACCTTCGGAGCTTCCGTGGCCGCGGCTCTTCTCTGAGTTCCGCGAGAACTTGACAGTCCCGGAGGTGGGCCTTAGGGCAGAACGAACGGAGAGGGCTGAGAGGGCCTGAACATAGCTGAATTCTCTTCGGGGTTCGTCTGGAGTGGCGCAGAAGCTGTGATAGCTAAGAGCAATTCAGAGCACATAGGCTTGACCGATCTGTTTGCGTTGATATGTGCTCCTCGGTCGACTCAGGTGCGTCGGTGCCGAACCGTATGCTCATGGTGGAAGAGGCTCGAACTCGGCCCGCGCACACATCTGAGCATTCCGAGTGGAGGAGAGCCTCAACCAAAGAACTCAAGGCTGGCGGCGGCAGGTCGCGACTCCTGCGATGAGCCGTCGGGGGCCGAGAAAAGAGGCTGTTGGCAAGCTGCGGGCTGCAAACCGTCTCGAGACAGGCCCGGCGGCCTCTCCCAACCGATCGTGGAGGTCGGTTGCTTCGGATTCGAGCTGCGGAGGGCTGCATTGTGCCTGGGAGGCCTTGTGGTCCGAAGACCTCGGAGAGCACCGTGGTCCGGCCTGGAAGGACTGCGGGCCAGGGCCGGTTGTGCACCCAAGCGCTGCAAACGACAAACAGAACCACAAGAAGAGGGAGAAGAAAACGCTGCAGCGACAGCTGTTTCTGCTGCTGCAGGTGATGATGGTCATCTGTATGATGCTGCGTCTGCAAATGCTGCAGATGATGACACGGGTGGTAGTAATTAAATGATGATGACCGCAGTGTCGCAGCAATTCGCCACATTTTGCTTTGTTTAGTTGGTGTTGAAATGTGCCTTTGGCAGCTTCGCAATGCTGCACGACATGCCCCGCCCACGCACGAGTGTGGAGGAGCTCCTCCTGGGTGGCATCAAACTCCAGCAGCGAGCTGGGACCCCCCAGGATGACTACGAGCCTTGCCGAGCAGTGGCGCAGAGATGGTCCGTTGCAAGTCCTATGGATGCAACAAACATGCTGTAGTAGGGGCTCCGCACCAAGGAACAGCTTTGCAACCAGACGTCGCAGTTTGACTCGGCGATCAGGTGCAGCTGCAAATCAGAAATCACAAGAAGACTGTTCTAGCAGCTGTAGCGTGAGAGAAAGGATGCGGGATTGCACAGTTTCAGACACGGCTGCTATCAGGCGAGATGTACATCGTACGCTCCCGCAAGAGGAGCTCTTCCGCGAGCGTCAGGGGAAGGGTCAACAAGCGCTCTTCAGGCAGGGAAGCGGCAAGCATGCACTAGCTTGCTTCCTATCTGCTGGCATCGTGCCAGCTCGTAGTGTGCAGATTGCTCCGGGCGCTGGCCATTCGCCTGTGGGATGTCGGCTACTGTCACTGGGCTGCAATGGACTCTTTACTCCACTTCTGCTGCGTGTACACCGCAGCGCACAGCAGCACACATGTCGCCGTCGCACAGTCGCACATGTATTCTTTTACATGCGCGCCCTGGGCGCGCCCAGGTCTGCATACGGCTGCGTAGGTCTGAAGCTTCACACGCCCCCTTTCCGCCGGAAGACGCACTCCTGGCGTGCGACCGGTGTGCCGATACCGAGGCCAAAGTCTTAACTTCATCGTGGCAACGCTTATTGGGGTGCGCCGCAAGATGGGAAGCAATGTGGATCCCTGCATGCTGTCGAGATTCGTAGTGCAAGCCGATTACGCATGGCGAGATGGCCGTACCACTAAGCTTGCTGTTGGAGTTGAAGAGGTCTTCCCCGATGACGAGGCGCTGGTATTCAACTGTTCTTTAGCCTTGCTGCTGCGGCATTCGCTGGTGGCTGCTTGCCTTGACGGCTTCGTCGATTTCTGGTTTATTGCCGGCGTCGCGCAGCAGATGCCGATCAGATATGTGTCCCTCCTCTAAGGATCTGTACCGGCCGAAATTTCCAAAGCTTGGGGCAGCTCGTCACTTCTACTGAAGCTTTCCGAGACTGCTCTTGGAGCCGGCAGTTTGAGAGAGCCGCAGCTGACATGTGGAGTGTGCTGCGTGGTCATCTGCGGATGTGCGGTGCGCACTTCAGGTCATCATCTGGCAATTCGATCGCATCGTCGAGGGGTTTTTGCCAAAGGTCCATGCCGCCCTAACAAAGCACGGCGTCAACTCCGAGTACTACGCCATCCAGTGGCTGCTTGGCCTCGGCCGAGCTTGTGAGCCACTCTAAGTCTTCGAGCATGTTGCAACGAAGGTTCCTCTCCCTCTTCGCCAGCGACTTGCCACAAAAGGTGGTGCGCCGGATTTGGGATAGTGGCCTGGCTGATCCTTCAATTGTCTTGATGCAGAGAGCATCGTTTAGTGTTGGGCGCACTCCCCTCCTCAGAGCATCACCCCAGCCTTCGAATGGTTCCACCCGGCATCCAGCTCGTTGCCTATACAAGGGCACTTGCAAGCCCAGGATTTCTGGTCGCGGGGTGGCGCATCATCGTCCAAGTTGGCCTAGCATTGTTGTACAGCATTCAGGACGAGCTGGGTGACATGGAGACGTTCCTAGGCGGCAATGCTTGTGCCAGGGATTTTGGCTCAGATTCGCCACCAGAAGCAGATCGCGAATCACAGCCCCTGAAATATTACCCTTGTGTTTCTTGTATTACTTTGCAGGCAGTGTGAAGTGGTTGTCCGCCCGTCACACTGTTGCAGCTGAGGTGCTTTGCCCTGAGCTTCTTAAGGAAGTTTGCGCAGCTGCTTTGGCGGCACAGCGCAAGTGTCACTGCTGTCCTGACACGTTCTGATCTTATGAACCCGGAAGCAAAGGACACGCACACATCAGCCCGAAGGCCTGTTGAAGACAGCCTCCTCTTTCAAGGTCTCTCACAGACTGCTACCCGGCTGCATGTGACTAGCAGCTACGGGCTCGCATTTGTGTGTCCTTTGAATGGCTACACTCGGTTACACCGTTCCTCGCAGAGTCCCAGGCTCTCTGCGTTGGAAGCAGCTTACAGTTGGGAGGCCCCTGCCTCTTCGAGTCACTTCTCGAAAAACACAGAAGAGCAGGCTTGTATGTTTGTATGTACCCACAAGCATTCTCTGGCTAGGAAGATGCTCAGCTGACAGCTGCTTGGCCGAAATGCTTTCTGAACGGACGTCCTGGATTGTCCATCAAAAGTCTCCACTCCTCATTCAAGGTCGTCAAGGACTTGAACACTGGCCAAGTGCATTGGGCAGTTCAGGCAGTACCGCGTGCAGTTCCCACACCTGTGCCGCAAGAAGGCAGGTCTCACTGCATTTGTTCAGTCCAGGCTGTTTGCAGTCTCGAAGAACTGCGGACAGCTGATGTCAGCACACGATGCCCCCCCCAGAGCTTTGCACCCCTAACAGCAGGGATAAGGGGTTGAACAAAGTTGAAATTTGGCATCAAACTCCGCTTGTCCTTGATCATTCAGCTCCTTCCTGAGTACAAAGCAGCTTGGTTTGACAGCAACCTTCTTCGGTAGAGTGGTGGCGGTGACGCCCAGAATCCTCTCACTCAATGAAACAATGGGTGAGGGGGCTGGTCTAGGGTCTGAGGGCTACAACTGTAGCCCCTACTATGTCCGATAGACAGAAACACAGAGAGATAGATTTTGGCTCAAGCGATACTGGACGACGAGGCATTCAATGACGCCCTCAACTCTTACTGGCTGTTAAGCGACATTGGTGGGCATGACGCGTTACAACCTTAAGGTTGTAACTAAAATGGTTGCAAACATGTCGCACGTAAGAGCTGCGACTGATTTCGGGCGCGTGTGTCGTGTGTTGGGGTCGAAAGTACCAACAAGCTTTATTGTTTCACACCGACCCGGACATATGAAACCTCGCCTGGCTTGTCCGAGTTGTGAGAGCGTAAGGTCCAACTTCGGCTAATCGTTGTGGAGAGACCTATAAAACATAATTTCCGAAAAATCGACAATCAGGGTGTCGAGAAACAGCCGAAATCATTTTCGAGATTTGCCGGATCATATACTGCAAGTGGAATGAGATCTCGCATACGCACGTGAGAGAGAGGGAAATGGAATGTAATGCCAGTTACTGGGAGGAGCAGCCAGCGAGGCAACCCTCCAACACCCCAGAATGTCAGAGCAGCACCGGTGAGAGCATCAAGGTGCGGGACAAGGGCATGCTGACTACCGAGGACCCAGAGCGAGAGCACCAGAGACGGCAAGCGGCACCAACCGGCAGAAACCACCGTCGAGAATGGGTGCCCTGACACTCGATGAGCGGTGGAACGAGACACAGCCCATCAGGTGATGAGGACAGCAGTGAGTCTGAACACGAAGAAGTACTACGGCCACACCAAAAGACCATGCTCCGTACTGAGCTCGGAAGTTTCGATTGCAAAAGCTGGGCAGCAGTATTCGTGATCAGCCGTCAGCGAAAAGCTGGCCAACTATTTTCATGATACCGAAAATGAGCGGCAACAAGTACCATGATACTATATGAGTCAGGCTTTTGTTGAGCCGAAGAAGCGGACTCAATAAGGGGCATGTTTTTCCTCAAGCAGCTAACTTTCCAGCGGAAGCCGGGAAACGCAGAGTTGATCTACATTTGCAGAGCATTCGGTCTTGGTGCTGTATTTGCTTGTTCGGGTGTTGCTTCGGTCAGGGGGCGCACACGGTTTCCACACAGTACTTGTACCATTGTACCTCCTTTTAACAGCCAGGCCCATCCTCTGATAGTCGGGAACGGGGCCGCTCTGATGAGCGGAGTGCTGGGACTGACAGAAGTTCAACACAGTTATTTGAACGTTGTTGTCCCTGAGACTGAGAATTTTTTGGGAGCTCTAAACACGTGTTTTGGGCCTCACCCCTAACAGCATCAGATCGGCCTGACTAGCTAGGCGGGCGTAGAAAATGGCATCAGATCAAGCTGGTTGAGAGCAGCATCAGATCGAATGTTGCCACACTTAAACGACGGTCCGTGGATGGTCTTGTGGAAGCTGGTACAGAACGATCCCATACCCCTGCACTTCCGGATCCTCTAGCGGTTGCAGGCGAGGAGCCTGCTGTGCCAGTCCCTCGCGCCTTCATGCGAGGCTAGTCGGACTCGTGTATTTTGCTCAGTGCGTCTGAAAGCTGCAGGCTTCTGCCTTTCATTGCTGTAATTTCTTCGAGAGAAAGGACTGTGTCGGCGGCACACTACTTCTTGTAGACCATCTTCCGCACAAACGTCGGGAAGAGATAGAATTTACAAGTCTTATAACTCATAACTTATAACTCCAGTCCGGAGAGCCGCCTCTGTCTCGTGGATTCGTGGCCGCTGGGAGTGTTTGCAAGTGCCCCGCAACAGGTTCTGCTGGTGGGGAGCCTTGGCCGCAGCAATGCAGGCAATTTTTTTGACACTGCGCCGCTTCTGATTTGCGGGTCTAGCCCAGGCATGCCTCAGCGGTGAGGAGGGTCCCGAACTCAACGAAGGCAAAGTGCTTCCGTGGCTTGGCACCAATTCGAAGAGACAGCCCACGATGTCGCTCTCGACTAGTCGGTGTGCAAGTTTGTGTGCTGCGTGTTCTTCGACATGCCGTAGGCTCTGCACATAGGTTCTCAAGCCTGTTTGTTCAAATTGTGTGCGAGGTTTCTGGTCCGAAACTTGGACACAGGCGTCCTGTCTGATTTCTTCATGCACAGTTTCTCGTTCTGGGCAGACGCCGGATAAACTAACGTCTGGCGGACGTCCAATGGTCCAAGGTGAAACCAGCATTTTGAAAAGGGCTTTCTTCCAATACCGTGACGAGATTCACAGCTCCCCGGCTTTTCTAGCTACTTTCGCCTCACGGTCGCTGGCAGCTGGTTGAGGACAAGCTCAAGCAAAAGCAGGGCCTGTCGTGAGACGACAGTCTGAAGCCGGCTATTGAGTTTGGATTGGATTATGCGGGCACGTCAGTGTGCTGGCTGTGGCACTCTATGAGAAAACAATCGAACTAGTTATTAGCTACTTGTGCGTCTGGTTGGTATTTGCCAGCTGAACCTGGTCGTCTTGTGCAGAGCTAGACCACAGTTTCACCTGACTATAGCTGCTGCGGTTCATGGCAGCTGCAAAAGAGGCTACCCCACTGCACGTCAGTGCCAGTGCGTGCCATGAACAGCAGCTGGAGAACAAGCCATCCCCAAGTGCGCGGCCAGTACCATGCAAAGGGAAAGGCAGCACGGAGTTAGGCCAGCTTGCTTTTCCAAGTGGGTCATATTGTGATCTACGTCTTTATGGTTCAGCATGCCACTCGAAGCGTGGACAACGTGCAACCTTCAGTCTTTGCTCGTCTGTTTCTGCTCGAAGCTAGGTTCCCCTCGTAGCATGCTGGAACACCTAAGCAAGCCTTATTGGAAGCCTTAGTCTCGGTGTACTACTGGCTCTGTGAGCCCGATGCCGCGCTTTCTGATTGTGGTAGCACTGACCCTACCTGTGTTTGGAAGGGGACATTGCACATTGGACGGCAAGGCATCGCACCATGACCTGGGCATTGAGGCCGTGCAGGCAATGAGCAAGTCTGCAGCCCAGCCTTCTTGGCAAGAGTCGCTCTTCCTTAGCATCCCAACGAACTCTTCAGCCCGTGCATCCCTGGAATACATAACCAGCAAACCACACGTTGCGGGAACGGTGGGCGACCTTCACATGGCCGAGTATGTGCGAGATTCCTTTCGGAGGGAGGGGATCGCTGCAGAGCTCGATCCACAGAAGGTGCTTCTGACGTATCCAATCCGAAGTGCTCTGCAGCTTGTCGACAGCACCGGAAGAGTAGTGTCTGCAGCCAAGCTGGCCGAGGATGTGCTTCAGGTGGACAATACTTCTGACACATGGTGGAGAAACCACACCTTCAACGCCTTCTCACCCTCTGGGGAAGTGACCGCTCCAGTGGTATACGCCAACTTTGGCCTTCCAGAAGACTTTGCTGCTTTGAAAGCTGCCGGTGTTGACGTCCGTGGGACAATTGCGTTGATGCGTTATGGAAAATGCTTCCGCGGCCTAAAGGCAATGAATGCGCAGAAGGCCGGTGCTCTGGCAGCTGCCATCTATTCGGATCCTGAGCAAGATGGCTATGCCCAAGGCAGTGTGTATCCTTACGGGCCATGGAGGCCCGAGAGCAGCGTACAGCGAGGATCAATACAGTTCATCTCCCTGTGTGCCGGTGATCCAACTCGAGCATATGCCCCTCAGGGCAAAAGCGTTGAGGAACTCTGTGGCTACAGTCGGGAAGAGCTCATTCCCCAGATTCCCGTCCTACCCATCTCCTACGGGGATGCGGCCATTTTCCTGGACTCACTGGGTGGCGGAGAGGCCCCGGCCTCCTTTAAAGGTGCGCTCAACATCACTTATCGCACGGGTCCGACAGAGATGCGGTACAAAGTGAGGCTGCAGGTGGAGAATCACTTCCAGTCTTCACCCGTTTGGAATGTCATTGGGAAGATTCCGGGCACATTGCCAGCTGACCTTGATCAACCAGTCCTTTTGGGAAACCATCGCGATGCTTGGGTGTATGGAGCTGCAGATCCAAACAGTGGAACTGCACAGTTGCTGGAGGCCGGGAGGGTTGGATGTCGAACTTGGTTATCTGAGTCTGCATTGCAGTTCTTGAGGGTAGTATGAGTGTGCATGGCAGCAGGTCGCCAAAGGTTTGGGTGAACTGCTGCGCCGTGGATGGCGGCCTCTACGCAGCATCTACCTCTGCTCTTGGAGTGGGGAGGAGTATGGGCTGTTGGGCTCAACCGCATGGGGAGAGGTGAACGGAGATGGTTCGGGTGCTTTGCTGAAACGCGCGTTGGCTTACCTGAATGTCGATGTTGGCGTCTCAGGGGACCACTTCCGAGCTGCAGGAACCCCGTCCCTCGCCCAGCTGCTCGCTGGCGTCTTGGGACAAGTCCGCCACCCTGGCTCCCAGAAACCTCTCTCCGATCATTGGTCTGGCAGGTTGTACTCCCTCGGTTCAGGTTCGGACTATACCGTTTTCATTGACCGCCTGGGCATACCCTCGCTTGACATGTCCTTTACGCCAGGGGATGCCCATTATGGAGTCTACCACTCGGTATACGACTCCTTTAACTGGATGGCAACGGAGGGGGATCCAAACTTCACGTTCCACGTGGCCATGTCGCAGGTTTGGGGCCTCACTGCCCTTCGCCTGGCCGGCTCCGACGACGGAAGTCTGACTCCGCTGCCCTTGAACCTCTCAATTCAAGCTCAGGCCATCCGCTCTTACATAGAGGAGGCCAAGCAGATTCTGAATCACACGGCACCGGAACGAATGCTGCGCTTCGAACCCCTCGAGCAAGCCTCTGCAGCCTTCCTTCAGGCAGCAGAGAAGTCTGCAGCAGAGGCCGATCGCCTGAGGAAGCTTGGCCCTCCAGCTTTCGATGAGATCCTAGCATTCAACAACAAGATCGGCCTTCTGGAGCGTAATTTCTTGATGGAGTCAGGCTTGCCAGGCCGAAAGTGGTTCCGGCATTGCCTGCAAGCCCCAGGTTTATACACAGGCTATGCTGCCAAAACTCTCCCAGGCATCACAGAGGCAATCTCTGCCAAAGACTGGCCGCTAGCCCAGGCCCAGATTCAGGCTTGTGCAGAACGGATCGATTCTGCCGCCTCTGCCTTCAGCGACGTGGGCCTCGTCATCGCTGTGTGATAGTTCTTCACAAATGGACATGGTGACACCAGCTGGAAAACTAAGCTTGGATGCTTCGAAGGCTGGCAGGACATGGTCAGTGCATGTGCATTTTGCTCGCAGGCCTTCTCTGAAGCCGCTGATAGCCTGGTGGCTGGGGAACTGGTGGACAGCTTAGACGGCTGCCGGAGAGGGGCGGGACAGTGCAGCCGCTTCAGTCATGTGCATGCAGCCATGGGAATCAAGCGTGGGTTGGCTGATCCTCCACCCGGTTGGCTGCTAGTTTTACTCGCCAATAGCCTGTTCCGCAGGCACAAATCTACCAGTTGGTGAAGGCAGGAGGTGTCACTTCAATTGTGGTGGTCGGTTGGGTTCGCCACGACGTGGCGGCAATTTTAAAACTGATCAAACGTTTTCATTCTTTTCTGAAATTTTCCGTCGCAAGGCCAAGAGTGACCGTATGTCGCAAAAAGAGGCAGAGTTGCCATCGGCCCAGTTCGTGGCATACTCACGGTTGCTTTGAATCGGCTCTTGGTATTGGCTGCTGGGATCGCTCTAGTCTGAGGCATCGCAGCGAGTGCATCGTTGCAGAAGCGGCCCCCGGCCTCAGAGATGCAACGCCTGTTGCGAGTGTGGCCATGATGTGCAGAGAGTACGAAGTCAAGGTAGTGTACACGGCAGGGTCTTTGAGGGAGACCATCTTGCCTGCCCTCAGGTTGTTGCAGCCAAGGTGGGGGAAGACCCAACGTCCTTAGACGGCAGCGTGATGACGACTTGGAACCAATTATGGATAGATCGGAGGGATGCTGAATCAACATAGGGTTGTTGGCATCTCCTGTGGCAGTGTCGTGCAAAAGAGGAGCCAGCATGGCAGGTCCATTTGCGCGAAGAGCTTGTGCCCAACCCGGTTGTGAAGATTTGTTTCTGTTGAGGAAGCTATGACACTGTACACCTTTGCGGGGTGGGCTTCATAGAAGATCTGAGCATGAATGCGAGTAAGGATGAGCTGCTGCGCAGCTCTCAGCGAGAGCTGAGGAAGGAGGCATCTGATGACGTCATGATAACGAACTATGTCTGTCTGGGGGCGTTTGCAGTCCGAAATCTGTAGTTTCTGCGACTTTAGGAGTCAAAAAAGGCAGGGCATGAGTCTTGATCGCATGGGCAGCTCCAAGCTCCTACTTATAGGTACTCAAACGTCTACATGCATCTAGCTCTTCTTGGCTTCACACGCCGCATTGAATCTGGAACAGAGTAGAGACCAGGTTCTGTGTGCTTCTTCAATTGAACAGCCGAACCACCTAGACACGGTGAAAAACCACGCGCCAGGCAAGCGTCCAAAGACGGCGCCATGACCTGAGCTTTTCGAAGCTTCGAGCGATGTGTGGACTGTGCTGGTTCGGTTTAGCGTTTTGGAGTGTTGGATAGGAGTTACAGTAGGGTTTACTGGTTCTATACAGCCCGGGCAGTTACTAGGGCTTGAGGCTTAAGCTTTGCTTTCAGCTTATGAGCGTCCTGGGTTTTGGCCCCGGCCAATGCGCTGGTCGCATCCCCGCATGCATACGGTTACGATTACGAAGCTCCATCTCCTCTAGGTTTTAAACTTCAGAGCCATCTACTTCAGTACCGCTGGAAAGCAGGGGATTTCTGTCTGAAAGGTCTTGAAGAGCTCTTCCAGAAGGCTCAGGACTTCCACTGAGTCCTTGCCTGCAATGAAATGTGAAATGCGACTACTGTAACGCACTTCCGTGCCCCTGCAGGACGAATTTCGAAAGGCCTGTGCCGAGCAATGGTTTTCTTGCAGCTTATGCTCTTGTGGCAGTTTGCCATTTCCTGCGTTGGTCGTTGCATATGGACTTGAGGCTGTGGAGTGGCGAAGAGAGACACGAACCTTGAAGGCCTTCCCGGTAGACTGCGACCAGACTACTCACGGGAAGAGATCACTATGAGCTCACTGCATTTTGAGCACGATGCCAGTCTTAGATGCTCTTGGGTGTCAGGGGACCGTGAACAACGAGATCGAGACCCGCGAGAAGCTCCAGAAAAAAGTTCAGGCCTGGTGACTGTTGCGTTTTGCGCACTTTGCCGAAATTTGAGGCAGCTTTTGGGGAATACTACAGTATGCTAGCTTCTTAGTCTTGCTCTTGTCTCCCTATGGGAACCACTTTTTGGACATCGTTTTAAGTACTTCGCAGCCGCCTTCCCAAGCCCGCATGCAACAAAAAGTACTTGCAGCATGTCAGGCATGGCTTCGAGTTGTATGTCCTTTCGCATCGAAAAGTTGCTACTTGTAAGTTCATTGCGTTAGCCTCCGCTGGAAGGAGCTTCTGCGGCGAGAGAAGGCGCATGTGGGACAGGGTGGCAACTTATGCACAGTAAGCGCCTGATCACCGTTTCCAACATTGTTGCAGACTTTCGCGCAGCTTTCAGTCTGCGCATGCAGCGTTTCTGCGAGATTTGTGTTGGCATGCACGTAGCGCCAAAAGCCTTTCTCAAAAGCAGTATATTATGCAGGTCTCGTGCAAGCAATGAGCAATGCTCTGCGACGCTCTTCAGGCCCTGAAGCAACAACACGAGCTCGAGCGAAAGCCGAGCCCTCGGCAACGATCTCGAGACATGCTGCGCTTTTTTTTTGCCGTGGCTGCAGGCGCTGGGCAGAAGAGAAGGAGACGCTGCATCCAAAACTGTCGGAGCACCGGGTGTCAGTTTGTCAATTCTATGACATCCGCCAGAGCACGATTCCAAGATAGGGCTAGAGTGACGGACAGCCGGTGTGCAGGGAGGGAAGAAGGCAGGTTGAGGTTAGCTTCTTGGGCGACGCAGTGCGTAGCTGCCGAATGGCGAACAGAGAGGGACGCTCGACGGTGCCAGGTGCTTTATAGTAGCATTCATTGTATCGCTACTGCTGTGATCTCAACTATGGCTATGAAGACAGAGCGACAGAGCCAGGAAAAGGAAAGCTTCCGGCAACTGTAGCCTTGGCACGGGCATGCACTCGCCTCGAAACACAGGAGCAGCTACAAAAACAAGCTGTGCACGGCACCTGGTCAAAGGGTTCCTGAGTCAACAGTGGCTTGAGCTGTAGTGCGTAGTGTTGAGCTGTGACAGTGTTGTGGAGTCAAGAGCGCAAGAGCGTGCTCGCAGGGCAGTTTCAGGCCCTGCGAAGGCAGAAGGAGGGGCATCCTTAGCCTCCCTCCTGCGTCTGAGTGCGCAGCCCCTAGCAAGGTGCGGTGGAAACTTCAAGCCGAGAGCCATGGCATGTGCAGCACTACGAGGTGCCAGCCACGCACCAACGCCATTCTCGGGCGACAGCTTTGACCTGCAGATGACGCTCCTCGCTTTGTGCAAGTGCCTTCACGAGTCTGGCCAGGTCCCGGCAAGTCGACTGGCCATCGAGTTGCACAAAGTGCGGTTCTCCACCATGAAGCAGCTGCACCCAAGCAACACGGAGTGCTCTTTTCAGCGGGCCATGCGGTCGGAAAGAGTTCTTACCCAGTGCGTGGAGTATGCCGACCGTTTCTTGGCCATGGAGCTCTTCAACACATGCAAAGTACTGGCCAAAGGCTTAAGATCCAATCCGCAACTACTTCCGGGTGTTCACCTGGCTCTAGGACCCCAGATGTGGGAATGGCATCCACAGCCAGGAACATTGCGCCTGCTTGGTGATTGCCTTCCACGAACCCAGACCTTCCGTTCCACGCTTGCACAGCAGCGCGACGTGGTGGTGACCTGTGGAGGCCACGTGCACAGCTTGCCGAAACACTCTTGACGACTTGGGTCAAATGTCGGTGACTGGTCGGGGTCTGCATGTAAAGTAAGCCGGCCTAACGGAAGCAGACGGCAAGCAAGTTGAACTTGGAACTGACTTTGCATTTCACCTGCACTCGTTCAAATTAAAGTCTCCCTGCCGTGGAATGTTCATGTAGGTGTCCCAACCTCCTCTGACTCCTTTCTGTGTGCAGCCGTGTTATGGGCTCTGTCAGGTGGATTTGGAAGTGCCGTCCGGCGTGTGACGAAATCGGCATCGCTGCTCATGAAGACCACAGGCTCCTGGGAGAACCTTCCGCCGATGGTCAAGAAGCGCGAATTTCATGCCGCTGCTTTCTTGAATGGAAAGCTGTACGTTTGTGGAGGCCTCAATGACGATCTTGAGCAGGAAAAGGCCGGAGAAGAGGCAGTACATGGCTCTGTCGAGTGCTTTGATCCTCGGACAAAGGCCTGGAAGCAGCTCCCACGGATGTCCGTGCGACGACACCACCATGAATGCACGTCTCATCTTGGAAACATCTTCGTTTCCGGCGGAATCTCCCCTGATCGACCTGGAGGCGAAGGACCGCTTGCGACCGTCGAGTGCTACGATCCTTCGAAGCAGCGCTGGTCCCACATGCCAGCAATGTCCACGGAGCGCAAGGGTCACACTGCAGCCAGCGTGAACGGCAAGCTCTTCGCTTGCGGTGGGGGTTCTGCTCCTGCATGCTTCATCGAGCACTTGGACGATTCCTTGCGCTGTTGGGTCCCTGGCCCTTCATGTAACGGAACTGAGGCTGTCCAGACGTGCCTGGCATCCACCGGTTGTCAGGGGCAGTTGTACATATTGACCCACAAGGTTGCTCAAACAATTCTACCTGACCAGATCTTTCTGCAAAGGTTCAACCCGATGACTGGGGAATGGAAGGTGATTCCTCTGGAAGTTCTCAGTCAGGAGCGGCAAGCAGCGACCATTTAAATTTGCATGAGTGCTTTGTTGCACTGAATTCGGCTGACTCTAGAAGATAAGCGATCCAGGATCTTGCCCGTAGCACGTTGGCTCCAAATGGCAGATATTCTCCTGTCATGACGGTAACTTCGTGAGGGGCCGCGCCCGACTTGTACAAAACGGTGGCACCTTCTCGCGGCCACGCAGCGTGAACTGCCATTTTACGATTTTTGGTGGTCTCGATCCGCTTGTTGCAGAGTTCAAAACGCCAAGTCTCGCCACAGACAGCCGCGATGCTCAAGTTCGTGCGGGCTTTCACGGTTTACCTACCTCCACAGGTTTCTCACCCAGCCCCACACAGACACACACAGTCATTTCAAGATGTATATATATATATATATATATACGCATTCTCTCTCTCTCTCTGCACATTTATATGTGTAAAAGATATCAGTTCGTTCATGTGTATACATACATACATACACACACATATATATATATATATATAGCTTGTGTGTATGTATGTGTGTATGTATGTATGTATGCATGTATGATGTAGGTATGTATGTATGTATGTGTCTGTAAGTATGTATGCATATGTGATGTAGGTATGTATGTACGTAGTTCTGGTTGTGTAACGTGTGTGTCTATGTATGTTTGTTTGTTTGTTTGTACGTATGTACGTGCGTAGGTCCAGTGTAGGTATGTTTGTATGTTCATATGCGTACACACGCACACACACTAATATATATATATATATATATATATATATATATATATATACTGACTGTATATATGTAAACGCATATAGGTAGATTTATAGATACATAGAGATGGATGGATACATAGCTAGACAGATACAGATAGACAGGTAGACAGGTAGGTAGAAGCAGTCGCCCGCCCTCAGCAAGCACCCGCTCTTTCCCCAGCCTCAGGAACACCCGAATGCCAGCCCCCCACCACCCTACCAAAACACGCTCGCGCTCCATGTGTGTTCCTGCCATCACTTCCACAGGAAGTACGGCAAAATCGAAGACTAGATTTTCACTGCCAGGTAGTCGTGCGTGAATCGCATGTCCCCGAAGCGTTCCCTGCCACGTGTGACTAAGCTTCGTCAGCTGGCTGAGAAAGTCATGTGGGCATCGTTGCTCCGCTACAAAATTACTCTTGACATGCAAACAACTGGCAAACAACTTTTGGTTGGCCAACTTCGAAGTTTCAAGGCTTTGGCAAACCGAAACTTCTTGAGCACTTGAGACACTTGAGCACGGGAGGCCACCACACGAACACCCTGCATTGCTGCTTCGTTCCTACCGGAGCCAGTCATTACATGAGGTATTCTGCAGCGCGTGCTCAGGCTTCAACAAGATGCTCAGCTGAGGCACGGTGGAACTGTGCAGAGCTGTGGGGCAGCTTTTAACTTGGCCGTCCGACTTTCCGACTTTCTCAGTGGCTTTCATCACAAGATCCGCACAAGTGTAGATGCAATCCTGCTACCTGATGATCTCTGCATGGGATAGGTGAGCAGGTTCGCAACTGCAACTCCCACCAGCAGAACGGCGAAACATAACTTTGTAAAACTTATGGGGCTGACAGTCCTTATCTCGGCATGCTCTGCCTGGGCCCTGGCAGCCGAGCCAGCAGAGTCGCCCATCGAGTGGGTGACCTGGCACCCAAGCCGTGCGGCTTTAGGGGTGGAAGCATGCCACTTCGACGGCGAGATGTCACGCATGCCGGAGCTGATTGCCCATCTAGGTGGTGGGTGCCAGGGATGCCGACTGCGAGACCGTCTGCTCCGGCTTGGACTCTGAGCGCCCGGGTGTTGCTTTACTTGTACTTGAGGGTTGCTCCTCCTTCGGTTTCATCCTGTCGCACTTGAGAGCGAGCACTCGGGCTTCGGCCACAGTATTCGCACTTCGGTAAGTATGCCAGTATTAGAAAAAGGCGCGCTCGCAGGCAGAATTATGGTCAGCGGACAGAGTTCCAATGCGTCAAGCTCAGGTGCGATGAGGGTTCTTGGCCGAGCAACCCCCAAGATTGGGAAGCCGTTGCAAGCTCCACATCAGGAGCGGTGGTGTTGGAATCGGCATGGCCCATGGCCCTGGGCCCCAGACCTGCCTTGGAGGACTTCTTTGTCTGGCATCAGCTCCAGGCGGCTGGCTGCACAACCCGTCCATCTGCACAGAAGGAGGTCCAGCACCTGGCGATACTGGGCGGCACCGGCAGATTTCAAGGCTCGCACTTCAACAAACTTGACCTGTATGCATCAGTTTTGTCAGACCTGAACTCAGGTGTGCTTCTGGGATGGTGGTAACTTGGAGATTTCAAGTCGAGCAGTAGATCCGTGTCTGCGGTTTCGACCAGCTTGGATTAAATTAACCTCGTTGCAATGTTGAGGGTGCAACGCTGGATGTTGGGGAGAGGACCCTGCTGTGGTTACCTTCCTTTTTGTCATGGATGATATGGACATGCGACTAGGGAATGTTAAGGAGGCTTGGGGCTGTAGAGAACTAATTGCAAAGTCCAAGGGGGCGGCCCGCGATGTCGTGGTGGCATGGGGCAGTTCCCCTCCACGGTGGCCCGGCGAATCTGTCCCTGCCGACGGAAGGAGGCGTGGCTGGGAGTTGCTCCTAGCTTGTCAGCCATTATAGGTCCAGGTGTGCCGCCAGGTCAAGGACGACAGTGCTGCTGCAGTCATGTCCTTGCTGAATGCTGCCGCCGGGATCTGAGGCTCCGAGGTGTGCATGTGCAGCGCCTGCCTAAGCTTGTTGTGATCTTTGCCAAGGTCCTGACATCCGCATCCAAAGTGGGCGTCAAAGAGCCGCTCAAGATTCCAGCAGAGTGCCTTGGACGGCTGTTGCAGGAAGTGGGTTGCAGGATGTGGCAGGTTACAGTATTGGGCCAATTGTGTTGCTCCGTGTTGCGCGTGCAGCCAGGGTGCAGAGCCTTTGCCCGAGCTGGAAGTATGGAGGCTGCAAGGCTGGTCCCCTGCCCTTGCCTCACTCCCCTCCTGCCTTTCCTTGGCTTGCATTGCCTCTGTCTTCCGATCACACACACACACACAAACGCATACACACAGAGACACACAGAGACGCACAGAGACACACAGAGACACACAGAGACAAACAGCGACACACAGAGACACGCAGAGACCCACAGAGACACACAAAGACACACAGACACACACAGAGACACACAGAGGCACACAGAGACACACAGAGACACACAGACACACACAGACACACACAGACACACACAGAGACACACAGAGACACACCGAGACACACCGAGACACACAGAGACACACAGAGACACACAGAGACACACAGAGACACACAGAGACACACAGAGACACACAGAGACACACAGAGACACACAGAGACACACAGAGACACACAGAGAC